TTGCAATAAGGAAAATATTCCTTAACGTGAAATGAAAAATAACTGTAATGATGTGATACTATGATGTGATTGAAGTTTCTAGTATTGATAAAGCTATTTATAATTTGATAATTATACTAACAATAATTATTTTTAACAACACTTCGTATCAATGCAATAAAAATATAATGAATAATAGTTATTAAATTGAGTTAAATTAAATACTTGAATTATGCTAAAATTACTAGAAATGTATGCTACTATTGTTGTTGAATAATATAAATTTATAACAATTTCCTACTTTTAACTATCTTATCGTTACTTTGTGTATTTTAATTTTCATCTGTTTTTGATGCGCGCCCCGACCCGCAAAAACCTCGGCTTCGCCTCGATTTGCAAAAGTCGGGCGCGTCCCCCCCTCCCCCACCGTTTGCAAAAACCTCGGCTTCGCCTCGGTTTTGCAAAATACACATTTGACGTATTAAATTTGCCAACTATATTTTACTTTTTATTATAAAATTCAAGCGTATGGACATGAGCTAACGGTAACTTTTTGTTTTTAATATTATTTAATGTACTTTCGGCAAGAGGATCAAGAAAAATAGCCTCGGCTTCGCCTCGGCCATCATATCACATACGCCAGGAAATCCAACTTTTTGGCCTTGGGACGTAATATACTATTTTTGTATTTGAATATAATACATTTTACAAAATAAAATACTCATGTTTTAAAAATATTCACATGTATCCTTTCTTCTTATCCTCCTTCTCATTTTAAGGGAATATAGGGAGAGAAAAAGCACGTACCTGAGCGGGGGTGACCCTACGAGGGAGAAAACGGTGGGAGGGAGAGAGAAACGCGTGCCTGAACAGGGCCCCAACGTGGGTGAGAGGGAGAGAGAAGCGCGTGCCTAAACGCATAGGTGATACGGAGAGAGAGAACGCTCGCTAGAACGGGGCCCAACGGGTGCGAGAGAGAGAAAAACAGGTTCCACGCGTTAAAAATGCTCGTTAGAACAGGAAAAAACAGGTTCAACGCGTGGGAGGGAGAAGGAAAGAGAATATAACAGAAACAGAGAAACAGAAAATAAAAGATTTAGCAATAAAATATTTAATTTAACTCTCTAATAAAAAATATTTCATCAATAATATTTAATTATATAATTAATTTAAAAAATACATAATTAATTAAAAGTAAAAAAAATTAATTAACCCTTTCCCTG